TAGTTAAAGGCAGAATGAGTAAGGTTAGACATCCTTGGCTTGAGTTAGTCATATCTCTGCTGGCACTCTCTAATACAGGCATGAAATAGCCAAACATTAAATTAGCAGCTAATAGCTAACAGCCTGCTATTAGTTCTCCTTCCTTATTTCTGTTTTCTCTTTACTGTACTTCACCCTGACAGCTTGCACACCGCTGTTCATTAGAGGCAGATTGACTTTACTGATAGGAAGTTGTTGGGTATTGTACTTCATACTGTATATGTACAACATATCATTACTCAGCAGATTACTCATATTGTGATCATCACAGTGTCTTTCACAGGAACTGAAAAAGGTGACCACGTCTATGATGAGATACAGGATGGATCAATGTTTCATTCTGCGAAGGGTGGGGAAAAAAAGAAGACTTCCTTCTTTTAGACAAACTTCCTCTTTCTATTATGATTGAGACTGATGTGAAATGAAATTCGACTCTGTGTTATTTGTGCTCGCATTCATGAGTATGGGGACACTCGTGCTCTGGCTGCTTGATGTTTGGCAACAGCTTTAAAGGTTTTCTACAGAATTTTCAAGAACTTTTCTGTCCATCTGAGTGCAGGAAGAGTGAATCCATTAAATAATAAACATCATTTTTAATCTGTTTCCCAAAGTACAACTCGAGGTGCAAAAGGCAGCAGCCAAAGTCGTCATATCTCTGAGTGAGATTTATACATTTAATACGTTTTCCACCATTTCATATGTGTAGGTTACATTATAACTGTTGTTCTCTGAGTGAAGAGACTCTCTTCTATGTCCCCACCTGTAGCTGGGTGGAGAGATCTCAATCTAAAACAGATTTAATTTACAAATATGAAACTTTTCTTCAGTGAAACCTTGAACAAAGAACTTAATATTCTTCTTTTTTGCTCTTTTTGGCAGGTGTGGAAAGCTTGCCTGAACGAAAAATGTCATACTGCATGATAGATTATTCAGGTAAATAATTAAAAACAACAGACGTTCATCGACGCTTGGTAAACTGTGAGGTGGTCTACAGGAGCTGACTCAACATTTAGGATGTCTGACCAATACTGACACACAAATTGTGGATATTGATTGATGTTTACAGTAACTGTAATGTAGCTAGCACCGGTTTCACCCTCCAGTGGATCAGGACCGAACACAATCTCTGGGACCGAAGGTGCCAGTCTGACAGGAAATACAGTACCGGGGTGCTTTTCTTGCCGGGTTTGGCCTCTGCTGTCCAAGCTAACAGCAGTTAGCGGTTGGCTACTTGTCAATCTGTCCATCAGGAAACTGTGTAAATAACCTTGGTACTGTAACATTATTGCCCGGTTCTGTCGCCCGCTAACGGCAGATACAGTTAGTAGTAGTTAATTAGCAGTTAGCTACTTTAGCTAAAGATATCTGTACATCAGAAAACTCTGTAAATCACAATGAGTTGAAGTTGAGCAACCAGAGGACGTCTCCATAAAATCTGATCCAGTTTCACCAAATTACTGAATAACGTTATAAAGTTGAGCTTACAGTATCAGTGAGGCCCGGCTGTAGATGTATGTATGATGCCTAAAAGGTTTCCGTAGGTTGGTTCTGATTAATGATGCTTGTTGGTTCATGTTTTCATAGACGGTTCAAACCACAACGATCCCACATATTCCACCATCTCTGATCTTCAACCAGTGGGAAAGAAGACTGGTAATCAACATTCACAGTCACACATTTTAACATTGAACCAAATATTCTGATGTTATATTTCAGGTTATTTATTATATTTCATTTCTTTTTACAGAGACATTTCTACCTAATGAGTCCCCATATTCCTTGATCGGTGGCACTTTTCTTGGTGGAAATAATAAAGGTAACTTTAATAATCAGCTGCAGATTTTGGCCTTTGTGGTATTAAATGTAAATTCATATGAACTGTAAGTTTACTGGGTCAAAGAGCCGTTTTAATATGAGCTACGTAGACATCTCTACCATTAAAATATTGAATGAGAAGCAGTTGGGAGTTATTTTCACCTACATCATGTCTCGATGAACAGGTTCTTCACAGCCGACTGACAACACGTATTTTTTACTGGAGAAACCTAAAGCACCTGGAATCCAGTGACCAACGTTGGACCTGAATATTGTGTCACTGTCGGGTTGAAACCTGCTTCTGTAAAAGCTGTTAATAGGAAAATACAGGGGGGAAGCTTAATAATGTTTAGCTTATTAGCATATTTATTTATATATAAAATCTTGGAAGCCTTAAAGCTGCAGTTGGTAACTTTTAGAAAACCTTTTTGTCATATATGCTGAAATTGTCACTGTATCCTGACAGTAATGAGACAGAAAATCAGGTTCTTTGGGTTCCTGAGCTCCTAATGGGATTCAGAAGCAAGAATACAACCAGGTAGCTGTTTCTCATTCCCAGGCTGCAAGCAGCGATGAACTCTCGCAGTTCGTCGTCATGTCATGTGCCAGCGTATCATGCGTACACCACACCGTGTAAATGTAAATCAGACGATGACTTCCATTCAAGGCACACTTCCTGTTTCCAGAAGGTGGGCACTATGCCTACGACTGAATATGGGCACGTAGATGTGTTCAGGCTCTCTTATCAAACATGTGAAGTTTGGGGTTCACATTGATTTCCCTTCTGGGGGATCTTTATAAATAAATTGGATTTGATTTAATTTGATGTTTTTTGTTGTTTTTTTGTCTTTATACAGAATATATAACTGATAGGTCAATTTGAGTTACTTTCTTGTGCTGGTTGAAAAAAATGAGAGGAAACGTCAGTGGCTGTTAACCACAAAAAGAAAGAGACAAATACATTCTAATGAGTTGACATTGTGGGTTTTTAGAGGAACACACGATAACACCTAACTGAGTTCCTGTTCTCAGA